CCCTTGGTGGAAATGGCACAAGACCAGCGTCATATAGAGTCACGTGAGGATCACGCAATTAACTAAATACATATACATTTTTCTATGTATATATATATATCTAAATCCAAAATTTTTATATTCAGTATCACGTGACACTACCTTTTATTAATTACAATTATATATCTTCTATTATTTTTTAAATACTCAATATAAATGCAGTGAATTCAATTGTTAGGTTTAATCACAATAGTATAAGATATCACATGATATATACTTTACCTACATATAAAAATTACTCATATCTGCATACAAAAATCTTATTATACAAAAAACAGATGTCAGATTTGTTTATTTACTTTTTTTTTTCTTTCCAAAATATCATTATGTATTTTTTTTTTGAAGATATTTATTAAAGGATTTCATTTAGAAAACTTATGTCTTATTTAGGCCTCGTTTGTCAACCTTTTATTTTAGTCAAAAAGTTAAAAAAATCATTATAAATTATCACATCACTCTCTCTACTTTTCTGCATATCTTTTTATAAAACGTTAAAAAATTACTAAAATAACCTAACCTTAATCTTATAAAAATTATAATGACTCATCAAATCGTGTGTGATACAAATTGATTCTATTGTCACTAGTTACATAAATAAATCTAATAAAGAATAAAAATGAATTCTCAAATAAATTTAAAATTTCAAAAATAAGTAAAAATTTATTTACTTATTTATTTTGGTAGATAAGTGTACTTAACCTTTCTAAAGATATATATTAATAATAATAATATTAAACAAGATGAAGGAAACAAATTAAAACAAAACAAAACAAAAAAAATCAACCAAAGGCTGGAAAAAGAAAATTGAAACAAGCATAAAGGGGTGAATTTTTCACAATACCCCTAAAAAAAATAAACACAAAAAAGGCAAAATAGGAAAGAAAAAGAATAAGCCATGGTATGAACAAGAAAATTACAAATCAGTGTATATTTCCAAATTATTGATACATTTTATCAATTTTAATAGTTAAAACTATAACTTTTCTTTATAAATTTATAAATATTTCATGAAATTATCACTAATTTGTAATTTTCCCGACAATAAAAGGACTATAGTAAATGGCTCAGTTTTCTAATTAGGGCATGGCTTTGGTCCAGTTCACCATCGGATTAGACTGTGCTGTTGAGCTTGTGGGGGCCCATCACGGGTCCCGTTTTGAAAATCTGAACCGTTCAATGTGTAGAACTCGTCGAGTACTATATGCTTGTAAAAAATCACGTTGATCGGATATCGATAGCTATATGATTAAAACAGTTTTTTATCAACTGTTAATTTATTCACCGTCTATTTTTTTTATACAAAACTGATTTGATCACATAGCTATCGATATCTGATCAACGTTATTTTTCATAGGCATATAGTACTCGACGAGTTCTACACATTAACGATTCAGATTTTCAAAATGAGACCTGTAGTAGACCCCCATGAGCCCAACAATCGGACTGGACCAAAGCCAAACCCTTCTAATTATTACCCAAAGTGGATGAGACATTCTACTATGAGTTCGTTTGGGGAAAGGGTTGGTTTTTTGAATATTTTAATTTGGAATTAAAAAGCTTAGTTTGGAAAGAGTTTTTTGACTTTTTAAAATTTTTGTGAGAACAAGAATGTAATGATTATGGATTGGATGTGATATTTTGTCTCATTGAGCTAAAAAACCTATTTTATCTTTTTGTGACTAACATAGTCCCAAACCCAATCCAATCCTTCTTTCCAAATAAAGCCTTATATACCTCTTAAAAAGGGGTATCATATACATTTCTAATTATATCATTTTCTTCTTTAATTATCATAATATTTTAGTTATGATTCATGAAATTTTTAGTTATGCTTCATGTGATATTTGATTATAATTTTTTTTTTAATTATAACTTAAAAAATATAAAATTATACCACCTTCTTCTTTAATTTTAAAATGGACGTATGCACTATAATCTTTCTCATGGTAGATGGATATGATATAGATACAAATCATGCTGCTATATGTATACTATTGCGTGTATCTCGTGGATCTCGTGAGGGTACACCGGGGCGACAAGTATTAATCTACCCGACACACAGCCGATAATTAATTAAACCATGTTATTCTATCTATATGCATATCTATATCTATATCTATATCTATATCTATATATCTCTGTAAACTAATTGTAAAAATCAGAAGCCGGATTTGTTTTTGTTTTTTTTTTTTTTGGGAGACTTATTAAAAAATTCATTGAGACAACTAAAGAGATTTCTAATGATGTAGTAAAAGAAAAAAATAAAAATATAGACACGCACATCACGTTACATGTGGGCCCTATTCATTGTCACATCACTAGAATTCTTTTTAAAGTTTTAAAATTAAAATTCTCAATCTTTATTCGACAACTTATTATAAGACAGCGTGGCACAAAATAATTATATTGCCACTAGTTACATGAATAGATATAGTTAAATATAAAAATAAATTCTCAAACAAATTTGAAAATTCAAAAATTCTAAATGGGATAAAATTTGAAAATTCTTTGGATGGGAAGACATTAATTTAGGGATAAAAAACGAGTTTGAATATGAAGGCATTAATTTAGAAATACAAAAATCAATTTGAAAAGTTATTCAAAGAAATCAATAGTGTAGAAGCATCCAAGATTATTTGAAATTAAAGGTTTAAAGGTGTAATATTGTTTAAAAATGTAAATATTCACTTTTTTTTATAAATAAAAATACATAATTTTTGGAAAGAGTAAAACTGTAAGTAAGAATATTCACCCATAAGTCTGTGACACAAAAACTGTAAATGTAAAATTTTACATTTATAAACTATTACATCATTAAGTCATTGAATTTAAAATGTAAACATTTAACTTTTTTCATCTAAAAGTTAATATCTGAAAACAGTATGAATATGCACATTCTTTTTTATATATTTTTTTTTTGAAAATACAAAAATCATTCAATTAAAAATTGTGAATTTTCACACTTTTTACTCGTTTGAAGTCCTCTCTCTCACACACATACATGTATATATAAGGGTGTGAATCGTTGTAAGTGTGAATAAAGTACTGTGAATATTTGTTAAATGTAAAAAGTATAAGTCTAAATAAAAATGTGAGGCCCCGTTTGGGAACTTACTTTTTTAGCCAATTAGCCAAAAAGTTACTAAATTAGCCAAAAAGCCAACAACTCATACTAAAAAGTCAAAGATTCTCTTTTCTCTCTACTTTTTGCACATCTTTTCGTAATTAGCCAAAAAGTCATCCCAAACATACAAGTTTTTTTTACCTACCTTTTTAGCCAAATAGCCCAAAAGTTACTAAATTAGCATGTTCCCAAACGAGGCCTGAATATTCACAATTTTCATATAAAAAAAAAAGGTAGAAAAAAAAAAACTAATGTGTGTTTTGAAATCTAAAAAAATGTGTGAATAAATAATCACATTAATTTTTACATTTTCATTTTAAATAATATAGATTTTAAAAATGTGTGAATATTTTTTAAAAAATATGATTATTCACACTAATTTTTGCACTTTTCAAAAATTCATTAAATTTTATTAATGAATATTCACATTAACAACTTTAATACTTATTAGAAAATTCACAGTATATATATATACATACAAAGAAGATTCTTATGACAAAATATTTATCGTAAGTGTGAAATTTTATCATACTTTCAATCCAAAAAAAACATGTGGAATTTTTATTTTTTATTTTGCATAGGAATAATTTTATATTCAATTGAGATTTTATTTGATAGATTTAATCGAGTAGTTCATTATAGCACATCCCCTCCTAAAAACCCTACATCATCCGAAAACCCTAATAGTCTCAGCCCTCTGAAAACCCTAACAACCCACCCCCTCTCAAAACTCTTCCAAAAATCGAGCACCAACGCCGACCACTGAACTACCGATGATGAGCTCTCTCGCCGACGATCTCTCTTGCCAAAATTGGAGTGTAGATTAATACCTTACACGCCTAAGATATTCCAACCCATCTTGTGGAGGCCCAAAATCAAAACTGGATTAATTGCTCACTACATTCTCCCTCTACAGCTATGACAACACTTGACAATATAATCAGGGGTGATCAAATGGCCGGCGAACAAAAAATTGAGTACTACCCAACTCGTCTCATGACCCGTCCCAGTTTGCTTGACTGCCCGACCCGTTCCATCTCATAGAAGATCATTTAAGGTTTTAGACAAATATTTAAAATCCAAGCCCGCCTATGAACCCGGCCCATACAAGCTCGCAAAGGTAAATCCAGTCCAACCATTTCATTAGCCCAACTCAAATTATCCCGTCCAAAAAAAATATTTAATATTATCTAAAAAAATAACACTGTTAAATTCAATTTTAATCCATTAAAATCAATATTGTTCCATTAAAAAAATATATTTGACAGTCCATATTATCTTTGTAAATTGTACTTTACAAAAATACACAAAACGCAATTTGTTAAAATTGAATTTGACAGTAACCAATTATATTTTCGTGACTCCCAATTTTTTACATATAACATTGTCATAATTTGTTAATTTAATAAATTTATACTTTAATTTGATTGTTTTAATAGTATTAATTAATTTGATCATATAAATTATAAAAAAAGGAAAAAATAAATGTGTATAACTTAATAATATAAGTCTAATAAAAATTATATAACCCGATTCAATTTGATTTTGGCCCGTAAGATTTGGCCATATAGGTGAGATGTAGTTTTAATTTTTTTTTGAATAAATCCGATCGGTACCAACTCATTGACTAGCCAAAATCCAAAAAACTCATTAATATATAAGACGTGGACACAATAGTTGTGAGCCAGTGATGACCCCTAATAACGATCTTCACCTAAAAGGTATCAAAAATATTTAGACATGGAAGTTCTGCTAGTTCTTAAAACCTGAAATATCAGCCACCCAGAAATATTTTAAACACAATATTAAACTAAAATCATGTGGTACTCTGAGACTATTGAATAATTTTTCCCATTCCAGTAACAAGTATTTGAACATTGAATTTCATTAACAAGTTCCACTACCATTTTCATTTTAGCAATTACATTACATCTAAACTACTGAACAGCGAGAATTTGCATGCACAGAGAGAGTGCATAGAAAGACATGAATTTACAAGCAATGTGCACAGGTAATATACACAACTTGACCTATCATGTGCCTAAAGTACACACGAACATGAGATATGTTTTGGGTATCATCTTGCGCAAAGTTTTTGGCAGATTCCTTTATGCCACTCTTCTTCAGTGCACATAGATTTTGAGATGGTTCCCTCTTCCCTTTGCAGCCACCACACCTGTGCACACACAAACTGAACCCATCAATTTAATCAAACCAAACAATAGAATAGTGAAAAGCCATAACATGATCAAGACAGCAGAACCAAATAAACAAATAATGAAAACAGAACAAGAAAGGAAACTGGAAAGATGGGCAACCAAGTGATGAAAAATAGGACTTTCTGAGATGAAGAAGTGAACATCAAAGAAGGTACAAACAAAGAATTTTTTATTTTTTATTTATTTTTTTTGGTTCTTTTTTAATGAGTTCTGAAAGCTTACACACATCAAACAAACAGATACCACTTCATAGAAATTTAATTAATGTAAATTCACTATGAACTCAATCCACTTGAAGAAAGCACTCGCAGTATTTAACCCCCCCCCCCCTAAAAAAAAAAAAAAAAAAAAAAAAAGTAGAAGAAGAAGAAGAATAGTCTAACTGAATTTTCTTCAGCCAACAACAATTGATAACAATTAATATGCAAGAGGCTCAAATTTAAAGCATGCATATAGCCAGCATAAAAACATACATTGATATATGTCAATGGAGGTTTACTTGATCAAGGACTTGGACAATTAAACTAACCCGTGTGCTAGAAATTTTTGTTTTTTAGTACGAGAATCATTCATCGGACTACATATTTTCGTTTCCTTTGCAGGAAACAAGTGGTTTAAACCTATCCAAGAAACATAAGTAGTTCCAAATTTAATGATACAGAAGGAAAAATCATTTTTTTCTCTATTTTTCATTGTATCATAAATATAAAAGTGAAGACAGTTTTCAAATATGAAGAAAAGTTACAATTTTTATAGAGATCAAGCCTATATATGAAAAAAAGACATACATGAGAGAGAGAGAGAGAGGAAACATTTTATAGAGATCAATGAAAACAAGCCAACAACTATTATTGCAGTGTTTCTTCTCAATCCAATGTCACACAGGTGACATTGAATAAAGAACCTTCTACAAAACCTGACGTTGGGGCTAATTTCTTAAGTTCTGCAGCCCTTAAAAGTGACTGGAGGCTATTTCAGTCAACAACATGCTTAATTGGAGAACTATTTCAAAAAGAAAGAAAGAAAAATAACAAAAAAAAAATTCCCAAAATTGACACAAGCAATTTTTTGTTGGCTTCATCTATTTAGCAAGCAACTCGATATACTCAAAAACAAATCTAAAAACTTCAAGCACTCTCTTGCATATACTGTATACTGACAGTTAAGAACTTCAAGCACTTTCTTGCATATACTGTATACTGACAGACATCCACTCACACAAATATCTAGTACATAACCGCCTTTGAATTGCATCAAGAAAAGAGCAGAAGGGGGTTCAAGCTATTCATGGGTCCTTAAGCATAAGTCATAAACTTGAGCAAATGTGCATTATAACCAAGAAACAGCTCTCCAACCAGAAACTAGGAAAGATTTATAATCCTAAATCTGATATTTCGACCACAAATAGGAAGTACTATTGCTTATAGAAGCTTTACGGGTAGCAAGAAAAAATGTAAACAGTTCGAAACTTCAAGCACTTCCTCTTACCAATAGAAACAGTTGCATTTCTCAGCAGTCTCAAATGTTTTGTCTAATAAATCACCTCAACTTATCATCACAAGTTGTCAATATCTAATATACTATATTGAGAATAGGTGGCATATAAAGATCTATTTGTTGTAAAACCTAAAGAGTTGACATTATACCATCTTATCGAGCAACAAATTAAATTACATGTGCGATTTTAATACTAGTGGCATGAAACAAACAGGAAATTCAAAACATCTCAGATAATAGCAGAGGCAATGATATATACCAAGAACCCCAGAGGTCATTTCCTTCTTCCCAAATTGTTGCCGAGTATCAGAGCTAAAAAGGGTGCGGTTCTGATGATTAGAATTAATCAAACCATCATACTCTCTGGCCACAGTGGGTGCAAGCCCACAGTACACTTCAATCCACATCTTCCTCTGTGCTTCTAAATTTACAAACTTCAAGGCCTCCATTTCCTCCCTTGAGTAAGCTCTCTTGGCTTCATTGCCTTTCTTTTCCCGGCAATTTTGAACCAATTTATCCTTTCCATTTGTCCCTGACATCGTTTTCACACCCTTTTTCCGTATTTGAGGCATTTTCTCTTTCTTTCCATCTCTTTCTTGCTTCATGACATTTTTCTTAACATTCCTCTCAGAATGTTTAGCAAAACCCACAAACCCCTTCTTCTCCTTTCTAATGCCATTTCCAATTTTACAAGCAGAGGTCATCTCAATCACTGCTGTTTCATCAATTACTTCAATCTTCACAGAACACTTCTTAGTCTCACAATTTCCTTTCAGACCACCGACCTTCTCAACCCTCTTTCCAATTTTGTACAATCCTTCACAAACACTTCCATTTCCATCAACAACCCGCAAAGAATTATCAAGTTCCTTGTTGATCTTGACATCACCACCCATATTCTCTCTTTTACAGTGGAAATTGGTGAACTTTGAAACATGGATCATAACATCAGCAATCGATTCTTCTTTGCTTTTCAAGAAACTTACAGGTTGATTTTCATCAAAAGCAACGCAAGAAGTGGCCAAACATTTGTTCCAATCTTCAACAACAGAGTGCTTGTTGTGAACTTCTTTGACAGACAATCTTGAACAAGAACTCTTCTTGGACTCGACAAATTCTCGATTCCCAGAAAAACCCACCTCACAGTCCTTCAATTCTTTCCCCTTTTCATTGACCAGCCGACAATCCAACTCTCCTTCATCACCCAGATTGTCTTCTTCTTCTTCTTCAGTTTCTTGCTTTTTTTCAACAACTTTGGGCTCAGATTCATTGGATGAAGCGCACTTAGGCTTCTTCAAGAGACCATTTTCAGTTTCGCTCTCCGCTTTCGATGAAGAAACGATCTCAGAGGGCTGTTGTTGTGGTTCAGGGGAGGGAGAATTGGAGTGTTGGTCTTCAAGAAGAGTTGGTTGATTGATGATTTTGATATCGGAGAGTTGTGAGATTCTACGTTTAAACCCTAAGCAAGTGTCGTAATCGAAAGCCTCCGCCATGATTGTTGTATGAATTGAGAGAGAGAGAGAGAGAGAGAGAAAGAAGAAGAGAAGACAGAACAGCGAGGCCAAGGCTTTACGAGGGTTTATAGATTGAGGTTTTGAGGGTTGCTCGGGAGGTCAGTTGGTTTTTTAATTTTTTAGTTTTTTTTGGTTATTTTAGTTTGGAGTTAAAAAATTTGGTTTGAGAAGAGATTTAGGCACCATTTGGGAAGGAAAAATCGGGCTAATTTAGCCACGTCCCGACAAATTAGGCTGTTTTAGCCACGTCCTGACAAAATGGAATTCACAAATATTTTGAAACCCTTAGTGGTGTAAATTTACCAAAATGTCCCGAAGACAACCCTCTTCAATCTGAGGGACAACGTCACATCCAAACCCAACACACACCCTTTGGAAAGCTGAAGAGAAGAACAACCGAGCTATCCCATTCGGAAAGACCAGCGGCGACGAGGACATCTGACCGACCTTCGCAGAGGTAATCGCCACCGGAGTACGCATCCGCGGCGGCGAAGAAGAACCAACCCTCTCAAACTCAAACCGATCTGCAGGTAATGCTTTATAGCCTATCTGATTTCTCTTTTTCTTCTTCCGATCTGCATAGTATGGGTTCATAACAGCATCGGTTCATGACCGATCTGTTGCTTTACGGTCGTGATTGGGTTGATTACGCTTACATTACACACATTTGGGGCACCGATCTGTCTCTGTGAAAAATCTGGGTTTTGGATCTGTTCTTATGTTAAAAATCTGTTCGGTTATCACGAAATGTTAGGGTTACAGCTCACAAATTTGGGGCAGATATGTATATATACATATATATATATATATATATAAAATATATCTATTCTTATTAAAATATTTGTTCTTATTTATGAAAATCAGATCTGTTGATCACAAAGTGAAGGCACCGTTGTTCAAACTGAAGGAAAAGCAGATCTTACATATCTGTTCTAATTTACAAAATGCTCAATTATCAGATCTTGTAAATCTGTTCTTATTTACAAAATAAAGGAAAACATGAACATTTTTGTTATATTTTTTGTTTATAGTCAATGTTGAAGCCTGAATTTTTGGTAATAGAAATGCTCAATTCCCATTTGTCAAAAATATATTAATTACATAAAAAATATAATTCAAACTAAATTTGGGAAGGAAGGTAGATATATTATCTATATATATTAACAACAAATTACAAAATATATAAAACTTATAGTACAAATATATTACAAAAATTGGGTTTATTAAGCAATATATTAAAAATATATTAGAAAGATATTAAAAAAATATATCTGAAATATATATTACAAATTTAGATTTAAAAAGTAAAGAGTGTAAAAATTTAGCTAGACATATATGACAAAATTTAATTATGAAAAACTATATTAAAAATATATTGAAAAATATTTTCAAAATATCATAACAAATATATTCAAAATATATTACAAAATAGATTTATTAACTTGAGTATATTTTTTACTCAATACGAAATGCTCAATTCTCATTTCTAAAAAATATATTAATTAGATAAAAAATATATTTCAAACTAAATTTGGGAAGGAAGGTAGATATATTATCTATATATATTAACAACAAATTTTATCCAAAATATATAAAAATTATATTACAAATATATTAGAAAATTGGGTTTATTAACAAATATATTAAAAATATATGACAAAGATATTAATAATATATTAAAATATATATATTACAAATTTAGATACTAAAAGGTAAAGAGTGTAAAAATTTTATTAAACATATATGACAAAATTTAATTATTAAAAAATATATTCAAAATATATTCAAAAATATTTTAAAATTATCTTAAAGAAAATTTCCTCACAAATATTTTCAACAATATAACAAAAATTTAGTTTTCAAACACTTATTTGAGTAAAAAATATATTCAAAATATATTACAAAATAGATTTATTAATTTTAATATATTTTGTACTCAATACTCAATGCTCAATTCTCATTTGTGAATAACATATTTCACTAAAAAATATATTACAAACTAAATTTGGGAAGGAAGGTAAATATATTAAAAAGTTATTAAAAATATATTAAATGTATTCGATTACAACTATATTAAAAAATTGGGTTTATTAAAAAATATATTAAAAATATATTAAAAAGATGTTAAAAATATATTAAAATGTATATTACAAATTTAGATTTAACAAATTATATGTCAGTAAAATTTTTATTAAACATATATTAAAAAAATAAATTATTACAAAATATATTAACAATATATTCACAAATCTAATAAAAAATATATTCAAAAATATATTACCAATATACCTAAATTCAAGATGTACAATACTTTTACAAACAATCTAGTTCGTTCATGGAATAAAATATAAAATTGCGTTAGTCTTTGTATGTGTTCATGTTGATCCATGTAAATTTAATTGCAATTTAAAGCGTAGCATGGCGTCGTTCACCTCTACTGCAACTTCCAGTACATGGCCACGACGAATTTGTGCCTATGGACATGGCCCCTGTATTGTTAAGATTTCCAGGTCCACCAAAAATCCAAGGCGTCCCTACTTTGTCTGTCCCCGTCCTGTGGTGAGTGACCCATTCTTTACTGGTCATAACTGTATGAACATTAACAACCCATGAAACTAATAGTTCCATAATTTCCACTCATCAGCCCTGTGTCAGTTGGATTGGTTGGTGTGAAGAAGGAAGGCGAAAGAACCAAGACTATGTGTCACCCGGAGATGAAATTGCCATGCAATTGCGGGCTGATGTCATAGACATTCAACAATCCTTGCGTGTCCTTAAGACCATTGTGTATGTGCTCTGCATTGTCGTTGTCATTTTGTTGTGCCGTATGTAAGCACCGTTACCATGTTGTCAGTCTGTAGAAACACGTTAGTATGTTGTCAGTATGTTGTTAGTATGTAGTTAGTATGTTCGTAGTATGTTGGTAGCATATTGTCGCATATGGGAGCCATATTACTAACTATCATATTTTTGTCCACTACTAACTTCCATGGAACCTGTGTACGTACGTTATTAATGTGCAATGGTTATATGCAAATTTAACTTTAGCATCCTATATCTATGTTTGTTGTTATTAATGTGTCATGGCTTATGCGTGGGTATATAACAACCGAATTTGTGATGGTAATCTTTTGTAACCGTACATTAGTAATGGCTTCCACACGTACTTCTCCGCGTAACCAATCGAAAAGCAAAGGCGTGTCACTGACAAGTCAAGCAGTCTTGAAGAGACACATAATCAGTTCAGCCACAAGGCCTCATGGGACAATAACTCAATCCGAGTTTTCCTGCAGTTGATTACAAATGAGATTAGTAAAGGAAATCGCCCATTCCTAGTCCTCAGCCAAACAGGGTACAAGTCGTTGGTAAGGAAATTTGAGAAAAAAAACAAGAAGAAAACATGGACTGAAACAGTTGAAGAATAAGTACATGAGCTTGAAAAAAGAGTGGCAAACGTGGACAAAGTTGATGGATTCAAGCAAAGGAGTGTCCAGGATAGGCTTTGACTGTGACACCGGTTTGTTTCAGGCACCTGAGGAGTGGTGGGACAAGATGGAATCAGTAAGTACATGTACAAACAAGTTTTATATTTGTCATTAACCAGTACATTTTTGACTTGTTCAGTTAACTTTTAATTAATTATATGAAATGTAACGTCTTCCTCTTTCATATATCTCTATTTCTGCACATTAACAAGGTGTGTGCGAAGTTCAGGAAAAAAACCTTGGAACACCGTGACTTGATGGAGACGATCTTCATGGGGGCATCAGCTACTGGGAAGCACCATTGGACCCCGGGAGAGAAACTTCCTAAAGCTGCTGATGACTCATCTGATTCAGTGCGTAGTTTGGGAGCCCAGCCATTTGCTGATCCGATACCCGCAGAAGTACAATACGTGGATTCAGATTCTTCACTGGAGCATGTTCCAATTGAGAAGGGGAAAAGGAGAAAGGCGCCATCAACAAGTGTTTCAAAGTCGAAGAAGGCAACAAGTGGTGCGTCAGTTATTGCGGAAAGCATGAACAATCTGACAGATGTGGTGCGTACGAAGAATCAGCAGGTTACGGTGAGACACCTCACAGGCAACGAATCGCTGTACACTATTTCGGAGTGCATGCATAAACTGAGCAGTATTCCATCCCTGATTGGTACGCTGTTATTCCACTTCGCCTCCACACTTATGGATAACGCCGATTACCGGGAGGTGATGATGTGCCAGCCTAATGACGACCACATCATTGGATGGCTTACACAGAAGCAACTCCAGTGTACTGCGTCGGTGCCTTTTGCAAACCTGTTTGGGGGTCGCCGAATGTGATGTAACGGTGTTACAAGTGTTGAAGATTCCTGTCCTTGTCTTCCTTTTTAAAACTTTGACTTATGGTATTGTTGGCACTGTACTAAAACGGGATGGTGGTGTGTGCATGTTTTTATTCTGTCGCTTTTGTTTTTTCTTGCTAGCTATGGTGACCAAAAGTTTTAGTTAACTGCATGGGTTGACGGAACGGAAGCATGGTTGTGCTTCGTTTTTGGAAAATGAATGGGATGCTTATGTTTTAATATTTTTGTGGCTATTTTTAAGACAGGGAATTACATTTTTCTTGCACACTTTTAAATGCCTATATGTCGCAAGTTCAATTGTTAGTTTAGTTTGCTGGCTAGTTTTGTGGTTGTTACCACCATGGTCCCCCTGTAAAGCAGAAGTTGAACAACTTTTCTTTTTTGTGCAATTCATATGATTATGCGTTCCAAATGACATTGGTGACAACATTACTTACATTAAAAACAATGTCGGCATTTTTTAATTGCAAACTTCAATATAATTTGAGTCAATGAATCACGTGCCAACTGATTAAAAGACTGCCACTCTTGTAGGTTTCGCATCAACGAAGACGCGATGAATCCCTGGGATGGAAGCAACAATGATGAAATAACGGAAATGCTTAATCAAACGGCGGTCCAGGTGCAACAAGAACAAAACTGCACATTTCTACAAGCATGCCAGTATGCGACAGAATGGTACGAAAAACACATGGATAAAACGCCGTTTCGCACTTCTATACTAACCGGGAATACATGGATGTGCGAACTATATGTGGGCCATATGGGTCGATTTGAGAAAAATGTTTGCATGCCGAAGGAAGTTTTTGCCGCATTGTGTGAGACATTAGTAAATGATTTTGGGTTACAAGTCCCGCAACGTCCACATGGCTTAGCTGTTGAAGAAAGCGTTGCAATGTTTATCCATGTGTTGAAAGGGAAGCAAAATCGGGAAAGTTCCAACATTCCGGGGAGACTGTGTCGAGGCACGTACATAACGTATTAACTTCCATGAAAGAGTTCACTGTTGTTCATTGTCGCCCCACATACAGTCAGCATCGTATACATCCATACGTGCGGTCTAGACGGAAATACCTCTCGTTCAAGGTACTTCTGAAAAACATTATTGACATATAAATCAAGACAATTAATTATATTTTGTTTTTATTATTAACTGCACGTGACGTATGAAAAAAACCAAACACTTGTTACCCATTTACGTAACAAAACAATTGGGCTATTTGCAGGACTGCAGCAATAGACGGAACACATGTAAGTACATGGGTTACGGGGCCAGATGCGGCAACATATTTCGGTAGGAAATACTGTCACACGCAAAATATCATGGCTGCTGTCGATTTTGAAATGTGTTTCATATTCATTTCCTGGGGATGGGAAGGAAGTACGCATGATAGTCGTATATTCAACGAGATACTAACAAATGACAATATCCTCTTCCCACATCCTGACGAAGGTAACACATCGTCCTGTTATTAGATGTATGGGGCTATAAATTTTTCCTGAAATAGCATTACTTGAAAATGACGCACAATGTTCGGTTTTGGTGTCATACATTGTTGTCATGTCTGCAGGCAAATATTATCTTGTCGATTCTGGCTATCCAAACCGGATTGGTTACTTAGCACCATTCAAAGGCCACCGTTACCACCAACAAGAATTCTAACGTATTGCACGGAACACGACAGCAAACACGCCAAGGGAATTATTTAACAAAGTGCACTCGTCCTTACGCAGTGTGGTGGAACGCACTTTCGGTGCCTGGAAAAATCGATGGGGGTTTTGTAACAACCCTCATACTGTTTACCGATTAATGACTGATTAACTGCTAATTACAGTTAACCGAGACTGATTATGACTGATAGTTGAACTGATTAAAGTACTGAACTGACTGACTGAAATTGGAAACTGAATTGACTGAGTATATGTTAGTTAATTGCATTCTATCTGTTTGATTGTCTGATTATCTGTTCATGTTTATATGTTTAAACTGCTAATTGAAGGCCTTATCGGCGGCCGAATTAGTAACCGATTGATGTTTTATGAGCGTCATAATTAATGTAATTTTATGGTATATTTATTTGAAAACTGATTAGGTATGATTAAATTAGATTAAATAAGCTAGTTAAAGAGTTACGCTTAATTACCAAATTGCCACCCTTAGTGGCCCACTCAATACACATACTTGAGCCTTATGTACACACTTGAAGAACATTTCATCAGCCATTTCTTCTTGTTCTAGCCGACCTTAGAGAGAGAGAGAGACTTGAGGAGTTGATTTCATCTCAATTTTGCTTGTGAATTGTTTGGAAATTGAAGAAATTGTTGAAGAGATTGCATGTTTGAGCTCCCTTCTTGAACTACAAGACTTAAGGTAGCTCCATTGTCTTCTTGTTCATGTTTTGGGTTGATTGTTGCATGGTTCATGTCCAATTGTAGAGCTAAGTCATGAATTAGTTCATTAATGGTGAATTGAAGCCCAATCTTTGCATGCATGGTAGTATTGTTAGATTTTGAGTTGTTTTCATGGCAAAATGTTACATGCATGTTCATGTCCTGAGTGTAGTCCATGATTTCATCATGTTTTGAAAAGAATTGACTCTTTAGAGCATCAAATCGAAGCTTTGAAATGGTTTGAATTCATGCATGTTGCATGTTCATCTTGTGCTTGAAAAATGGTTTAAATTGAGTTTGAATTAAACACCCTTGGGCTTTGATTTCTTAAAATTGAGCTTTGAAACATGTTATTCTATGTGTTTATAAATGTTTTCCAGAAAATGAGGGCCGAGTGTTCGCCCTAGTACCGGGAGATGTGCAGAATACCGAGACCCTGTTACTGCGACAGAATTCTCTGTCGGTTCCCTCGTGACGGGACAGAGAGTATGAAGTGGGTGATCACGTGTTTGTGAAAGTGACACCGATGAAAGGCCAGACTCGTTTTGGAGTCAAAGGCAAGTTAGCACCGAGATACGTCGGACCATATGAGATCATTGAGAAAATCAATCCGGTGGCGTATCAAGTTGCGCTTCCTCCTGAAATGGAGCATATGCATAACGTCTTCCACATCTCTATGTTGAGAGACTACCTTCCTGAAAATGCTTTTAAAAGTGTATTTTTTGCATCCTCATCCCATCCTAGGCATTCTTAGGCCTAGTTTAAGGCATCTTGATGAGGATATCATTGTAGAACACACCAAGGCAATTAGGGATTAAGTTATGAGATTTCCCAACTGTGTAGCTTAGTGTGTGTTCAATCTGTTAACTGTGTAGGGTTGGCAACTGGGGAGACACGCTCTAGCATACTGTAGCCCAGAACTCTGTGAGTAACAATTGTGTAAAGATATGTTCAACTGATTATCTTTTGAATACTGAACTGAACTGTTTACTGAACTGGTATTATTTACTGAATGAATGTATGTCCTTTATTTCTGAACTGTACTGTGCATCCTTAGTACCTACGGTTTACTGTATTGTTACTGTTACAGAGATCTCTGTCGGTTCCCTTGTTGGAACCACTACTGTTTACTGACTGATGGCCATCATTACTGTTCGGTCTTTTAAGACCTACTGTTACTGTTATGCTAATGGATGTACCACATATGACTGTTTACTGTACTGAACAACTGAATGACTGATTGAAATGAACTGTTTTCATACTGTAAGGACATTCATTCTTAACCTCTTTACGCATTATGTTATTCACTGGGCTTTAGCTCACGGCTCATATATATATGTAGGTGTACAGGCACCAGACCGCGGCTAGGAGCGTCAGGATTCCTCCAGTTTTGTCAAGCCAGCCTATGTGCCTCACTGCGAGGTTCCGAGCCTAACCGTTAAGGCTTAGGGGTGTTTTAGATTTTCCCCTTCTGTACTGTCTTACCGTTCTGTATAGCCTGTCAACTGTTTACTGTACTGTTATCAGGGATTAAGTCCCTGTACTGTGTGATTGTAAATGTTGTGCATACTGTTCTATACTGTTTATGTATAAATGTATGAGAAGTCTTTTTGCATACAGACCGTCACAGCTCATTGGGCACTGTTTATTTACTGTATTGGCTTCCGCCAGGCCCTGTACTCTGTTTTACTGTACTACTGTCCTGCAGGCCTTCGGTAATTTCGGATTACTGGCCGGTTACGGTGCTAAACCCATAGGGCCGGGTTTGGGTCGTGACAGGTTTATTCGAGACATGCCTCGGTATGACTTTGCAAATGTGCAAGTTCAGTTAGTAGGTGCGTCAATGGCATTACATAATTATATACGGCGAAACACAGATAACTCAACAACTGTTTAGCCAATCTGTGACGAGGAAGAGACTATGACAATAGTAAATGCCATACCAGAAGTTGAACATGACGAGGATGGTTTAATGGTTGGGGATGAGGACCCCCATATAGCATTGGTGCGCCTTCACATACGCGACAAATTATGTTACATGCGTAATAACGGAATGTTAGGAAATATATAATAGTCGAAATAATTTTCGTATGGTTGTAACATAATGACACACATTGAACAGACTGTATTCAAATATATTATCATGTACAATATGTATGAGTTTCCACGGAAATGTAACCCCTTCCAGTTGGTGACGTGCCTAACTCTGAAAAGCAAAAATCCATAGAAATTTAGCTTTTCGAAAAACAAAAAAAAATGAAACTGTCACGACCCTAAACCCGCCCCTATGGGTTTAGCACCATAATTGGCCAGTAATCCGAGATTACCGAAGGCCTGCTTAACAGTAAGACAGTAAAACAGAGTATAGGGGCCTAGCGGAAGCCAATATAGTAAATAAACAATGTCCAATGAGCTGTAACAGTCTATATGCCAAAAAGACTTTTCATATATATATATATATATATATATATATATATACAGTGCAGAACAGTATGTACAACATTTATAATCATCCAGACCAGGGACCTAATCCCTATGAAATAGTACAGTAACGGTCTATACAGTCTACAAAACAGTTACAGAGAC